AGGAGAAGGACGGGGGCCAGCGAGGACGAGGAGGATGGCCACGGGCTTCGCAGAGATCTTGCTGCTCCTCTCCTCTTAGGCGAGCAACGGCGTGACGATGACGATCACGATGTAGACAACACTAGTTTTCCGCTGCTGCTGCGACCAGCCCGTGTCAGAGTGGTGGAGTGGTGGTCGGCTCACTCTCGGCCGTAGCTTGATTCAGTTTTAGCACGGAATGCTGTGGCCACGGCTCCGCGGCAGAATCAGACAGGCTATCGGAAGACTACTTTTGAAAGTAGAACTTGTTTAAGCCATCGCGGCCACGGACGGAGAGGGAGGATGAAGCGGGAAAAAAAGCAGAGGCGAGAGGGGAAAGGAGAGGGAGGACAACGACAAGCATGTGCTGCATTGCTGCAGCATGGCTTCTAAGACGGAACATCAGAGATATACCTCGGAGATCCAGCGAACAGTTCACATGCAAAAGCATGTTTTGATATACCAAGTTCCTTGAGATAAGCTCGTGAGTGTACACGTATGATGTATGATGTTTTTCATATCCGCCGGACCCAGAAACGAAATTGAATCAGACCGTCTAGCTGTTGCTTCACCTCTGGGGGGCAGGGACACAAGCTGCGACACCCGGCTCGAAAGGCAATTTTGCATTCAGACGGCCAGCCGACCTTGCTGGAGCTGTAGGGCTGACCCTCATCATCACGATGTCTGCCGTGCCGTGTCCAAGGGCCCAGGGCGGCTCACAGAACAGCCCGCCTCGAACCCCGCACGCGTGCGAGGCACGCCCCAGAGATGAGCATGAGCACAGCGCGCGGAGACCCTCGGCCGCTTGGCCCCGCAGCTGCTGCCTGGTAGGCGTGACCAGCCAAAATGGTGCCCGCCTGCGTGGGCATGTCCTGCTGCCTGGCACTGGCGGCATCTTCGAGAGCCATCGCGCCCGTTGCACCCACGAGGCGACTCAGCTGCCGACGCAGCCAGGAGCGAGAAGGAAAGGGAGGGAGGGGCAGGGAGAGGAGGCGAGGGGACGGGGGAGGAGGAGGAGGAGGAGGAGGAGGAGGAGGAGGAGGAGGAGGATCAGGATCAGGAGGAGGAGGAGGAGGAGGAGGACGAGAAGGAGGAGGAGGAAGAGGAGGAGGAGGAGGGAGGACGAGGAGAAGGACGAGGAGGACGAGGAGGAGGACGAGAGGAGGAGGAGAGGAGGAAGAGGAGGAGGAGGAGGAGGATGAGGATGAGGAGGAGGAGGAGGAGGAGGAGGAGGAGGAGGGGGGCAATGCCAGGACGAGAAGGCTCTCAGAAGCTGCGTTTACTCACGCCCGCTGCTCCGGCGGTGTCACTGGCAGCCTCACTGTGGCCAAACGCGTCCTCCAAGTCTTCAACCAGAGGAGGTTCCTGGAAGTCGCACTCACACATGTCCGCCGCCTCGGCGGCGGACCCTCAAGCGTCATTGCCCCAACGCCAGTCGCTTAGCAACGACCCCTGTCCCGACAGGGCGTCCATGCACGCACCAACGATGAGCGTCGAGACTCCCGGCCAGAGGGACCCATCGAATCCCAGTCAAACTCCGGCCACTATGCCCATAGCGATTTCCATCGGGATGGGAAGCAATACTTCTGGGCAACGCTGCAAGACGAGTGGCGCAAGATGCCACGATCCTGCCGCCGTGCCAGCACGCGCGGGCCGTCTCCACACTCGCGGGGGTGCTCACGGAGGGCTGTCTTGCAGAGGAGCGGCCGCCCATCCCCCCAGCAAGTTCAGACGCGCATGCAGAGACTTCCCCATGACTTCCCTGTCTGGGTCGTTCGGCAGGGCCTCGCCGCGAAGCAGTGCCAACTTGTCGCGCCACTGCTGCTCCGACCGCACCTTGGCGATCTCCCACCACCAGATGTCGTGGTCCAACGGCAGCCTGCCCCTGAGGGCCACGCATCCCCGAGGGCGGTGTTTCAGAGCCTTCGCTCTGCTCCTGCCCCCGAAGAGGGCGAGAGCCCAGTCGTGCCTCTGTTAGGCGGGGCCTCAGGTGATATTCCGACCAGGTTCCCGTCTCTGCGTGCTGGCGTCCCCCACCGCCGTCAGACTTCCCGCATTCGGTGGAGGCGAGCGCGTGAGCTCGAAAGAACAGTCCCTCCAGGCGACGGTGAAGCCAAGGCGCCTGCGCGGCAGGGTTGCGCGTGCCCCCGTCCACGACGGCCGAAAACGGAGGCCCTGGCTGCGCTGGAGCGGTCGCACCGTCACCCCCGCCAGGCGCCGCCCCGCCTGCCGACCTGGGGCAGGGGCGGGGGGCCTCCCTGGAGCAGGATGCGCTTGTCTCGAGCAGGGGGACCGATTGCAGAATCGATTCACCCAGAAATTTGCTTACTCGTCGAATCAACGAAAATCGCGCAGAATGTTCCGTAGCTCGGCGAACATGCTACGTATTTCTCGCAAGTTCGACGAGACGATCCATGTGGGGGGGTACCTGCAGTCTGGGAACGCTTGTTCACGCGTCAACGCTTGCGTGGATGAAGTCCAGGGGGGGGAGGTACCTGTAGTCTGGGGGGGGACCTCTAGTCCAGGGGGCGGGGTACCTGTAGTCCAGGGAGGGGTACATGTAGTCCGGGGAGAGGGTATTTGTAGTCCGGGGAGTACTTGTAGTCCGGGGGCCCAGAACTATTGAGGGACACGAGGTAGTCGATCCCCCAATCGAGTGGTATCCTCCGCGTGCCTGTCCGTCCGCTTCCCACGCCCTCCAGCGTGGACAGCCGGCTGCGGGTGTCCGAGGCGTCCACGCCCAGGGACCGGACCTGGGCCGCCGTCTTGAAGGCCTCGCTGGCGGCGAGGCGCTGCTCGACAGTGCCGCCCTCCCCTGCGGAGGGCCCGCGCGCTGAGCCGCCGCTGCCGGCGCCGGGCACCACGCCTGCAGCGCTCCCCGACGCCGTGCGCCGGATGGCCTGCTTCGTGCGAGTGCCGTCGTCTGCTCCTCGCCTGGCTGCGCCGGCCGGGCAGGCGCGCCGCGGCCCAGGCGGAGGGCCTCCGCGAGGGTCTCCGCGAACGACGCCCCCGACGGCGAGGCGGAGGAGAACTCGAAGAGGAGAAAGACGGCATGCGCGAAGCGCCAAAAGTTTATGTTTAATTAGGGCGTCTTTCTTCTTCCGTGAGGCAGATCTTCATCGTCCTTGCAGGGTGCGGCAGGCGCCCGAGGCGGTGCTGCAGGGGGCGAGGCTGGAGTGCCTCCTCGGCGAGTCCCTTGTGCAGCAGTTCTAGGGGGGCAGCTTGACGCCTGGCATCCTGTCGGCCCTCATCCGCACCCCGGTGCGCCCCTCTGATTACGGAAGAAGAAAAAGCGCCATTGACATAAACTTGTGGCGCTCCGCGCGGATTTCTTGGATCGGCGCTGGGCCCCCCCTAGCGGCGCCTCCGGCGCCGCCCCTGGCGCGCTCCGCGCGCAGGGGAGGGGGGTCCGGGGCAGATCCAAGAAATCCGCACGGAGCGCCAAAAATTGATGCTTATGGCGTCTTTTTCTACTTCTAGTATATCCTGATTCTCCCGCGCTTGCCCCTGGCACGCCGGTTGGTTGCTGAGTTGGCTGCTGCTGAGGCGGCGGCTGGCGCATTGCCCTGGAGGGCCTTCATGCCCTCGTTGAGCTGCTGTCTCGATTGTAAGAGAGGGTTCCTGGACACCGCCAGATACTGCTGGTGTGGCGTTTGGCTCCAGCGTTGCTCCCTGCGAAGGTCGTGGTCTCCCTTGCCACGTTGGTAGACATGTGGTGTGTGAAGGATGTGCGTGTATGAAACGCACGTCGCACCAACACGATTGAAGGTGTGATAATGTCGTAAGAGCTAGAAGGAGGGAGGATATGACACTACACGCGTACTACAGATGCCCACGTATATCATGGACGAACCGTGTGTAACATTTCAAAGCAAACGAAAACCATAACATTGAAGTCAGCGGTTCCAGTGATACCCCACCTGGGTAGTTTCCCTTTCAACTCAGATTTCATGGACAACAGGGCAGCTTTCGGGAAGGTCGACGTCGGGGGATGCTATGTTTTTCGATCGGGGCGGGGCCCCTGGAGAAGATGTACCCCCGCTCTTGTGCGCCACGTAGAAGGACGCCCCGTCACAGCTGAAATGGATATACACATCCAGACTATTTTGTGTAATAGTGATGCTACCTATGTTAAATCCTCGCCGACCTCGAAATCGACGCGCCCTCGCATGTTTCTCTCAAAACCTGCAAGAGACACGCCTGGCAACACGTGGGCGAAAACAAAGCCAAGTTGTCGATGTACCTGGCCGCTGCGATCTCTTATCCCCTGTTTTCGGAGTGACTCGCGCGAACGGGCCACAACTTATCTGCCAAGCATTCGTTTACTGAGAGGACAATGGGGAGAATGCTGTCACCCAGAGGCCCCCCAATCGGGGCCCCGTTATTCTGGACAACGAAAAAATTCCCGAGCCTGAACATTCGCATCCCCATGAAGCACTCCAAGCACCGACGGATTGTGCATCGATGAAGCACTCAAAGCAATTCAGCTACTCCCCTTTTCCTCGTCCTCGCCCCCCTTCGCATTCTTCCCTCCTACTCCCCCTGCTCCCATTCCGTCTTCCTCACCCTGCTCCTTGGCAGGCGTGTAAATGACGCCGGCCTTGCCGAGCTTGCCAGCTTCTCTCCGAAAACCCTTCTGCTCTCTCAAAAGGCTATTTGGGAAACGAACCTGGTTATGGTAGGTTCGTGCGGCGTTGGCGCACCAGCGACGCCGGCGAAGGCGTTCAAGGTTGAATTCTGTGACGCGGAAGCACCGATGGACACGGTAACGCCCCTGGACTCGATTGAGTTCAATTTTGAGTGATTTGGGCCGCGATCGATTCAAGGTTGAACGATCGGCGCGGTGTCAAAAACTTTTGCGCGTGCCGACGCCACACGAACTTGCCGTAGCAGCGCCCTGCTGCGCGGGCGCGCGACCTGTGCGCGAGCTGCCTGGGAGCTGTGCACCTCTTCCCTTCGCCCTCGTCGGCCTCCCCGCTTAGGTGATCTACGGGCCCTCTCTTTACTTTTACACGCACGGCATCGCCTTGGTCATCGCGGTCGTTTTCCACAAGCATCAGGGCGCGGAGCACCCGCCCACGCTCATCAAGGCGGCGAGGGATGATGATGATGATGATGATGATGATGATGATGATGATGATGATGATGATGATGATGATGATGATGAATATGAATATGAATATGAATATGAATATGAATATGAATATGAATATGAATATGAATATGATGATGATTTTGCTGCTGCTGCTGCTGCTGCTGCTGCTGGTGCTGCTGGTGCTGCTGCTGACGAGGAGGAGGAGGAGGAGGAGGACCACAGTAAGCCCAGCATGGCCCATGGTGCTTATCATTATGATGGTGGCGCTGATGCTGATGCTGATGCTGATGCTGATGCTGATGCTGATGCTGATGCTGATGCTGATGCTGATGATGATGATGATGATGATGATGATGATGATGATGATGATGATGATGATGATGATGATGATGATGGGGGAGGATAAGACACTTCTGCGGCGGAGGACGACGACGACGAGGAGGCTGGGGGGAGGAGAGTGAGCACGACAAGGAGGAGTAGGAACAGGAGGGGGGATAATTAGGAGGAGGACGAGGAGGAGGAGGAGGAGGAGGAGGAGGAGGACGAGGACGAGGATGAGGACGAGGACAAGGAGAAAGAATAGGAGAAGGAGAGAGAGAAGCCCATGGCATTGGCCTCAACGGTCATTGGCGGGCGCCGGAGCTATGAAAGGGGCGATGCGGGACGAAGAGCGACCCGTGCGGTGCAGGGCTTCTTTTCCATCAGAGCGACCGCGGCTTTCCGATGGCGCAGGTCTCCCGATAACCCTGGTCCCTTGATATTAAACCCCTGGTGATAATGAACTTCGGGGTCCAGGGGGGGATACTAAACGATTTCCCAGCAGGAGGATGATAAGGATGGTGATGATGATGATGGTGATGATGATGATTATGGTGATGATGATGATGAGATGATGATGATGATGATGATGATGATGATGATGATGATGATGATGATGATGATGATGATGGTGATGGTGATGGTGGTGGTGGTGGTGGTTGTGATGATGATGATGATGATGATGATGATGATGATGATGATGATGATGATGATGATGATGACGACGAGGATGGTAATAAACTCTCAGGCGGGAAGGGGGGGTCTCCTTTCTTATCCGGGGGGGGGGTAATCCACGGCCTCCGAGCTGCTGGCGGCGCTCAACCTCGAAAGCTCTTCGCCTGGGCCGCCGCCGCCGCGGTCTGGGCCAGAGCGGCTGCCGCTCTCCGAGGAGGCGGCGCGAGGGCGGGCCCGGGCCGCGCCTCGCGCAGCGCGATGCGTGAAGTTACGGTCGGCAGCTTTTGGTTGGCGTGTCGTTCCGCCGGCTCCGGCCCACCAGGCTTCGGTCGGGGCTCGAGAGGCGGGGGTCCGCGCAAGCGGGGGTCAGTCAGAGCGCCGGATCTTGCAGGATCCTGCAGTGCAGGGCCAGGGGTGCATTGACCCGGGCGTGGGATCTCGCAGGACCCAGGCCTGATTGACCCGGGTTTGGACTGACCCGGGTCGGAAGATCCCCGATTCGGCGCGACACGCTATCCACGTCCCAGCTCCTAGGCGTCAGCGCCCGAGCCTTTCTCAGGGTCCCGCCCCGCGGAGCGGAGCGACACGCTATCCGCTCGCATGGCATGAGCGTGTCGCCAGGGCCGCCCCTGGACGCTGTGCTCCACCCATCCCCGAGATCCGACGTTGCAACAATGCTGCAGCATCGCAGAAAATCACGCCCGAACCCCCCCATCCCCATCTTTCTGCGTCATTGCTCGAGCCGGATCGACCTGGGAGGGCCCCGGGGCCCGGAGCCGAGCGAAAACGCCCGTGGCGACAAGCTTGCAGCGCCAGGACCTCGGGGGCCCCTCCCCCTCTGCGGGAGCAGCCCCGCTTGCCCGACGCAGCCCCGCGGCCGGGCGCAGCGCGAGCGGCGGCCTCTGCTCTGCACCTTTTTCGGCGGGGCCCGCAGAGCGGGCGGAGTGTGCACACGCACCGCTCCTGGCGGGGCTCAAGTCGGGCCTGTCCCTCTGCAGGGGAGTGTTCCAAAATAGTCCAACGAAAATAGTCTGGGGACGATTTTGGCGTATTTCTGAGCACTTTTTGAACATTTGCTCGACAATGTTTGATTTTTCCTGCAACATCAGCCTGTAGGGGGACAGGCCCGACCTAAGGCTGGGCTCAGGCTGCACCTGCTCTGGATCGGTGCATGTGCACACGGTCCTTTGGGAGCGTTCGTGAGGGAATGTGCCCAGGAGGCTTCAGAGCCTGGAGGATCCCTCATCTGATGAGGGCGGCGGTGATACCCTGATTGGTGTTCCGTTGGCTTCCGGAGTCCAAATTCCCCACCTACTAAGGGAATGCCCTCTGAGGGCATTCCCTCAGATGAGGTGTTCTTGGCATTTCCAAGCCCGCGGCCTCTAAGCGTCGCCATTCGGCTCCCCTTGGCACAGGTGCTTGCGCGCCAGTAACATCCGAGCGCGCGGACGCAGCGGACCGAAACAAAATCTTACGATCAAGGGGCACGGGGTCGCTTCCACAGATAGGCGTGCCGGCCCTCACCGTAGTTCCCGCTCACAGTAAATCCGCATCCTTCCCCTCCGGCCCACCCCGTGGCCGCTTTCACTGGCCGCGCCCCGTTCGCAAAGTGCCGACAGTGCCTTCCAAGGCCCTAGCATCTAGTTCCCCTGAGATCCGACGTTGCAGCACAAATTGCAACATATCGCAGAAAATCACGCCCAGACCTCCGGACCCCATTTTTCTGCGCCATTGCTCGATCGATCTGGACAGGTCCCGGGGCCCGAAACCGAGCGAAAACGCCCGTCGCGAGCAAAACTGCAACGCCAGGACTTCTGGGGCAGTGCCCTTCTCCTCTCGAAAGCTGGCCTCCCGGGGCCCGAGGCCGCGAGCGGGGAGCCCAGAGCCTCTCTGCGTCCCCCGCGGCCGGCGGCGGGCCCCGGCGGGCGCCCGCCAGCGCGTCCTGTCGGCGAGCTCGGCCCGCGTTCTCTGCGCTGCCGGTGGTGCCTGTCTCCTGCGCTGCCGGTGGTGCCTTAAAAGCGGGGCCCGAGGGAGAGGGTACTTTCTGAGACGGGCGGTGCCGAAGTCTCGAGTCCGCTCGGTTTGGCCCGCAAGGTCGTCGCACGACGCTCACACTCGCACGTCGAAGTCTCAGATGCAACGCCGCGGCCTCAGAAGTCCCTGTCGCTGGCGTCCCTTTAGGAGACGCATCATCGTCTGCCGCGGCGGCGCGGCGGTCGAGGTTCGCCGTGGGCGAAGGGGGTCCTGAGGGAGACGGGTCCTGAGGTTTTCAGGCGATCGCAGACGTAGATCAAGGGGGCGTGGATCAGCGACGGGCCCCGTTTCCCGGGGAAATCGCGGATTTCTGCCGCTGGGCGAGGCGGCACCAGCCGCACTGTGGGGAGGGCACCTCTCCCGATCCATGGATTTGGCGACCGCGCGCCAAATCCATGGATCGCTAATCCATGTTTGCGCGTCCCCGAGGTGTGTCGCCGTGTTCGGGCTTTCGGGGCCCTCCACGGGCCCCGGGACCGCCAGGGAATGACTCAGGATGAAACACGCCGTCCTGGAGGATGGCCCCAGGGTCCAGGACCCGTTTCCCTCAGGACCCGCTTCCCCCATGCTAATAGGTGGTGAACGTGCTGAGGAAGGCGGATCCCATGTACATGCTTCAGGCTGGTGGCGCCCGGTTCATGGAGAGGGAGAAGGAGGGGGGGGGGGGGGAAGAGAGAGAGAGAGAGCGAGATATTTGTGCACATGTAACTACACGGAGAGAGAGGGAGAGAGAGGCAGCGAGAGAGAGGAGAGAGAGAGAGGAGAGAGAGAGGAAAGAGAGAAGAGAGAGAAGAGGGATAGACACGAGGGAGAGAAAGAGAGAGAGAGAGAGACAAAAGAGAGATGGGGAGAGAGAGAGAGAGAAAGACAAAAGAGAGAGCGTTCCCAGACCATGGCGAGTGTACCACGCGCGTCCTGCAAGAATTCACGAATGTGCGGCTGCTGGTGACGGAGAGGCCAGTGGCGTGCTCTTGGAGCCAAGCAGCTCTTATGGCGCGAACACTGCTTAGTAGCTTTGCAAGCTGACGAACGGTTCGGGTTGGTAGATTATCTCGCTTCGCGCAGCATCTGGCCGCGGACTGGACGGGAGCGCTTGCGGAGGTGTGTGCACATCAATTTGCGTTGCCACACATATCCGCCTCCGCTGCGGTTGGGGGGGGCGGCTGCGGAGAGGTGTCAGGGGCTCGATGGGATGGATGTGGGATTATCCCGCCCCCCACCGTAGGCTTCGCCTTTCTCATTTTTGTTTGTCGGAGGGCCGAGAACATTTGAGGGCCTGGGGCAGAACGAACGGACGCGGACGCGTGTTGTCGCGTGTTGGCGCGTGCTCTCGAGCGCCTCGGGAGCAGGAGGGAGAGGGTCAGGAGGCGGAGCGAAGGGTGCCCGCGACCTCTGGCGAACCCTGCCAACCCTGCAGGTCCACTCGACGCTGGGGCATCGGGCACCCCCGCTGGGGCGCACCTGGCTGCAGGCATCCTTCGGATTCTGGGCTCCGGCCAGTCTGTCAGAAATCTGTGGGGAGAGTCCACATTCGGAGGTTGATAGACCTCCTACCCTGACACGTCGATTCGCGAATTGGCCGTTTTCGGTTTGCGAGAGGGAGTCGCGTCCGTCGTTTTTTCGGGTCCAGGTCCGTCAGTTTCGGTCCGGTCCTAGGCCGTTTTCATTACAGGGAGGTTTACGAAACGGGAGGTTTGTCCACCACCGACACACGTGGCTGCCAAAGGGTGAGCCTGAGTGAGCACGGTAGGTGCGCGTCGTGCCGACCGGCGGCGACCCCGACGTTGCTTTCAAAGTTGAACGCCGCAGGCGACCCAGAATCGGTCGACGCTGAACGAACGGACGTTTCGGAGACGCCCGATCCTTCGAGTTTGAACGATCCTCGGGGTGTCAGGAACCGACGCCAGGCTCGGCACGACACGAATTTGCCGTAGGATCGCGTTTTCTTCTTACGCCTTTGCCAAAGGGTGAGCATGAGTGAGTACAGTCGGACTCAGGTATAAGATCGAGGTCGGTCTGGGGAGGATACCCTGGTGTTCTTCGTGTTCGTTGGAGGATCTTGATCACGCTGGGGAGGGTACCCTGGGATGTTCTGCTTGCTTTGGGCCGACGGAGGGCCGCATGCTCTTGAAGGATGCTCGCCTGGCCTAGGCCCGATGCAGGATGATCAAGGGAGGAAAAACCACCCGGACCGCACAATTGGCGTTTACGAAACGGCCTTTGAGCGTTTACTAAACACCCCTGCCCTGCTCGGTTCCTTCAGTGGGGGCGTTTAGTAAACGGCCTCGCTTGTCGGGGTGGTTCTTCTGGGGGGGGGGGATTCTCTGCCCTCCAGGGAAGGAGGCCGCGTGTCTCCTCTCACGCGAGCCCGCGGAGCCGGCGCCGTGTGGCCGGGCGAGGGGGCGCCTTGTGCGCCCCAGCGGCCGGGAAGGCTCCCTGGGCTCCGCGCCGCCCCTGCGAGCGGCAGGGCCGCGGCGGGCGCGCACGCCACCCCCCGCCCCCCTCCAGCCAGCGTCTCACTGTCAGTCTCTCCCACTCCACACCCCTTTTCCTCCTCCTCCTCCTCCGCCTCCTCCTCCTCCACCTCCTCCTCCGCCTCCTCCTCGTCTGCCTCCTCCTCCTCTTCCACCTCCTCCTCCTCCGCCTCCTCCTCACCCTGCTCCTCCTCCGCCTCCGCCTCCGCCTCCGCCTCCTCCGCCTCCTCCTCCTCCTCCTGCTCCTCCTCCTCCTCCTCCTCCTCCTCAACCTCGCCGTGCGGTCTCCTGACTCTCGGGCCCTGGCCGATGCGGTGGAAAAAACCCAGACCTCCGATGTCTTCAGTTGTTCAAGACGGGATCCCCAGAGCTCTGGACCGCTTCCATGGGACCGGCTCTTCTTCCCGGATCGTTTTGAGACGCTCCCCGGGCCTGGCGAGGGCCCCCCAGACGCCGAAAACGACGGAAAGCCTCAGCCTTCATTTTTCTTCCATGCGATGGAGGTCTGGGCACAGAACAGAGCAAAGTCCACGTCCTCACCGCTGTCCCTGTCAGACAGCTGCACCCTGGCTCTAAGCCCGCCGTGCGTTGGTTGGTTCTCCGACGGAGCACCTGCGTCGGACATGCATCCCGTAGGAGTAAGTCGGGCCTGTTCCTCCAACAGGGGGAATATTCAAAAATATCCCGGCAAAGCAACCTAACAGCGATGTGAAAGAGCATATCTGGAAGCACTCAACTTAAGATTCATGTAGGATTCCTGTTGTAGAACGAACGAGACACTGCTATGAATGGATTTAGTTTCGAACGACTCACTGCTTTCGATAACTGTATCTCCAAACGAGACACTGCGATCAATGGATTTACGCTCAAACGAGACACTGCCATCCATGGATTCAGCCCCAAACGAGACACTGCTATCAATGGATTTAGCCCCAAATGAGACACTGCGATCACTGGATTTATCTTTGAACGAGACACTGCTATCAATGGATTTAGTTTCGAACGACGAGACACTGCTATCAATGGATTTAATTCCAAACGAGACACTGCCATCAATGGATTTAGCCCCAAAGGAGACACTGCTACTAATGGGTGTAGCCCCAAATGAGACACTGCGATCACTGGTTTAATCTCCGAACGAGACACTGCTATCAATGGATTTAGTTTCCAAGGATTTAGTTTCGAACGACCCACTGCTTCCGAGAACTGTATCTCCAAACGAGACACTTCTATCAATGAAACACATGCGCACAAGGACCTGCAGGAACATTTTTTCTACATCACGGAGGCTACAGTCCACAGCACGTTGATGAGCACCGCTCACAGCATGCTGAGCAGCAACGCTGTCACAGTGACGAAACAGTAAAGATTGCAGGTGACTGAAAAGCACCGCCGTGCCCACTGCCAAGATGCAACCACATCTCCCTGCCCTGCAACTCGAAGAGGGAACGCCTGCGCACTGCATGAACGTGCAGCCTGCTGCACTAAGACCTCACCATGCTGAGGAGCAACGCTGGTACGGAGGTCCCTCACACGGCGTCTCGCCCACACACTACACATTCACAAAGGATCTCCCTCGATAACTGAATGGGCCGGACATCCAAGTATTTCAGCGGAGCGGTGATTTGCGCCAAAGCGCTGACACCAGAAGTGGTGATCTTCGCGCAATCCCGCAACTTCAAGATCGATAAACTAGAGCTGTGATGCACAAGGGATTGTGCCGCTGCATCAGTCAGCTGACAGCACAAGCTTGTATCTAGCTCTTTCAGCAAGGGCAACCGATAGCCACTGCTTGTATGGCTGCGTCGGTCAGAGACTCCAGCTAACACAGCCCAAGGATTTCAATGTGCGGGCACTGCTGCGCAAGGGCACAGATGGCGGTGTCGGTAACTTCTGGCCTCCGCAGACGGTCTGTGCATGGCGAGGAACTCCAGATGATCTATGAACGCAACCGTGGACAACCCTGCGCAACTGCGAGGAAAGCCGCATCTGTCAGATTTGCACATTCGTCCACACTCAATTCTTCTATTCGGGCGCACCTTTGCGGCACCGCTTGTATGGCAACATCACCAATGCCACTATCTTGGACGTCGAGGCTCTCCAGGAGAGGACAGGCTTGACTCACAATTTGCAGTGCGCCATCATTGATGTCGTTGCCCCCAAGGTCTAGTCGCAACAATTGAGGGCAAGCTCGTGCAATTGCTTTGACAGCATAATGCAGGCTCCTTCCATCGAAGAGAGCGCTTTCCACTCTGAACTCAGTCAGATTAGGGCAAGCCTTGGCTAGCAGCGCCTACTTCGTAGTTGTGGGAGCATGAATCTTACCGTCTTCTGAATCATGATTGAAACCCAAGCTGCGCACTGTGCTCGGACTGTCTTTCATAATTTTGTCACAAGCAAAGCAAAGTTCATCCTCGTCCACGCCACTGACGGTGACTACATCTGCACAATGAATTTCTATGAGCTCCCAGAGGGCATCCGATATCTGTTTCTTGTGAGCAGCGATTCTCTGTGCCAGCCGGTGCTCGCGACGCTGAGGCTCGGTAGTCGGCTTTTTTTATTTGATGCGGGAGGCGTCCGAAGTACAACACATCTTTCAATCGCTTTTCCACCGCAGGCTCCTGCTGCCCGATGTCGTCCCACAACTTGGACCAGCACACGATGTCTCTGCTAACCTTGGGATAATAGCCGAGATCCTTCGCTGCTTGCATGAGAGCAGCGCTTTTTGCGCGCAGTGTTGCGGGGTCTACTTCTGGAAGCAAACGCTCAGGGTCACTGGCCTCCGCGACGAGCTGCTCGTCGTCAGCAGGCTGAAAATCACCGCCAGGCGCCCGCAATTCATGCAACACGTCTTTGGGGATGCTGTCCCGGTGGACTGAGAAACGTTTAGCCAAGCTGTTTTCGGCCCGCTCTTCTTCGGATGTTCCTTTGTTTTGCTTTGGTATCCGGCAGAGCTCCCGAATCGCATTCACGACCTTTTGCGCGGCGCGCGACTCTGAGGGCAAAGCACCGTCAAGGGCCCGCAATTCCTGCAAAACGTCTTTGGGGATGCTGTCGCAATGGTCCGAGAAACGTTTGGCCAACTTGTTTTCGGCCCGTTCTTGTTCGGACGTTCCTTTCTTTCGCTTCGGTATCCGGCCGAACTGCTTCACGTCCTCGACGAGCGTTTGCAGAGGACCGTTCAATGCAGCAGGCTGAGGAGCACCGCTGTTCAACGCAGCAGGCTGGGGAGCGCCGCTGTTCAATGCAGCAGGCTGAGGAGCACCGCTGTTCAATGCAGCAGGCTGAGGAGCACCACCGCTGGACTGAGAACGACCAGCATGTCCTGGCATTAAGGTGCGCAGTAGGCGCTGCGCAGTTCCTTGGAAAGGAAATCTTCGAAAGCAGGGCTCTAGCCAAGAAGGCTACGGAGAGGATGATGATGATGATGATGATGATGATGAGGAGGAGGAGGAGGAGGAGGAGGATAGTAGCAGCAGCAGCGCCAGTAGCAGCAGCAGTTGCCTGTGTCTGTGATTGGTTGTACAGGGAGCCGTAGAGGGGGCCGTACAGGGAGCCAGTCACAGGCACAAGGCACAGGCGACCAGTCACGTATATGTATATGTGCACGTGCATGTACATGTATATGTATATGTGTTCAGTCTGTCTTCAGCTTCGGCCTCAGCCTCCGCCTGCCTCAGCCTCAGCCTGCATCAGCCTCAGCCTCAGCCTCAGCCTGCCTCAGCCTCAGCCTGCCTCAGCGTCTGCCTCAGCCTGCTTCAGCCTCAGCCTCAGCCTCAGCCTGCTTCAGCCTCAGCTTCATCCTGCCTCAGCCTCAGCCTCAGCCTGCTTCAACCTCAGCTTCAGCCTGCCTCAGCCTCAGCCTCAGCCTGCTTCAGCCTCAGCCTCAGTCTGCCTTCAGCCTCGGCCTCGGCCTCGGCCTCAGCCTCAGCCTGCCTCAGCCTCAGGCTGCCTCAGCCTCAGCTTCAGCCTCAGCCTCAGCCTCAGCCTCAGCCTGCCTCAGCCTCAGCCTGCCTCAGCCTCAGCCTGCCTCAGCCTCAGCCTCAGCCTGCCTCAGCCTCAGCCTCAGCATTCTCAGCCTCAGCATCAGCATTCAGAATGTGGCCCGGGAGTGAAGTTCTGGGAATTCGACGAGCACGAAGTGGCTTACAGTTGGCCCCGGGCATTCAAAATGTGGCCCGGGAATGGACTTCTGGGAAGTCGAAGAGCACGAAGTGGCTTACAGTTGGCTCCGGGTATTCAGAATGTGGCCCGGGAATGGAGTTCTGGGAACTCGAAGAGCACGAAGTGGCCTACAGCTGATTCCGGGCATTCAAAATGTAGCCAGGGAATGGAATTCTGGGAAGTCGAAGAGCACGAAGTGGCTTACAGTTGGCTCCGGGCATTCAAAATGTAACCCGGGAATTGAGTTTTGGGGGCTCGAAGAGCACGAAGTGACCTACAGTTGGCTCCGGGCATTCAGAATGTGGCCCGGGAATAGAGTTCTGGGGACTCGAAGACCACGAAGTGTGCAACTGCTTGTTTAAAACGAGCCCGGCCCTCGTCGGGTTCCGCCCGATCGGCTGCTCCCCGGATCCTGCCCAGACCCCCTTGGGGAGTCGAGATGCTCTCTTTTGACCCCCCTAGAAACCTATCAGTCTTCGCTGTTAGGTAAATAGTCGAAACATCGTTTTTTTCGTATGTTTGAATATGTTTGGCGCATTGTTTGATTATTTCTATTATTCTTACAAACTTCGCCTGTAGAGGGACATGCCCGACCTAACCGTAGGATGCACAGAAGTAGGGTGGACATGTTGTTCGCCTCGAACAAGTAGGGCAGAAATGTCCGCCATACTTCGGCAGAAAGTTCCGAAATTGTAACATGTCCACAACATGGCCCACATAGTAGGGCTGACATCCGCGAAAGCAGTGCGGAAGCAGCGACGGCAAATCGATATCAAAGGAGGGCGCCATGGACATCAGTGGAGCTTATGGATCACGGCAGATCCGCTCAAAACCGTTCCTTGGTCCCCCATTTGGTGTAGTTTTTCACCCGGATTCATTTTTGACGGTCCAGGGGCCCGCAAAGCGGCCCCCAGAGGACGAAAGAGGCAAAAGAGGGACGCTCGAACCCAGAACCTCGAACCTCCGTCCTGCTTGCGCATAGTCGTCCAAAGCGTGGGGCGGATCCGTAGTTGGGACAGCCCCGCAGATTCGGCCATGCGCAGATGGGGGCAGGGGGCAGGGGGAGGGGGGAAGGCTTCTTAGACGCACCCCCGCACCTACGAGGCCTTCCCACCCCCCATCCCCCGACCCCCCTCTGCACGTGGCCGGGTGGCCTGGGGAAAGGCTTCCTAGGAGCACCCCTGCATCTAGGAGCCCCCCACCCCCGCCCCCCCTCGGCGCGTGGCCGGGTGGCCGACAGATCGCTGTCTTCGGGGCCGCGCTCGCCGCCGCGAACCTGCTGCCGCCCAAGCTCGACCACGGATGCGAGCTCTCGGGGAGGGGGGGGGGCCCGGCGGCGCGGCCGGCGGCCAGCTCCGGGTACAGCGCCTCGTCGTCGTCGTCGTCGTCGTCGTCGTCGTCGTCGTCGTCGTCGTCGTCGTCGTCGTCGTCGTCGTCGTTGTCGTCGAGGGGAGGGGGCCTCTCAGTAGCAGTAGATCCCGGAAACTCCCGCTCGTCGTGGATTGAGCGTGTATCGGCGAGGTGGCGCCCAGAGAGCGGTCAACAGCGCCAAAAGGCGCGCGGTGGCGCCAACTAGCGCCGAATGGCGCTCAAGTAGCGCCCCAGAGCGACCAACCAGCGCCCCTCAGCGCCATGTGAGGGAGACGCAATCTGTCCGCTTTGTGCGGGACTGGGCCCGCTATTGGGCGCCACGGGAACGGCCAAGAGCTTCCAGGAGTTGTTCTCCAAGCCCCCCCCCAGAGTGAGGGGGCCGAACGGTCATTGACTCTCCCTGGGTGCGTGGCTGAAGTCGGATTCCGCGATGCGGATTATTGTTGTTGTTGCTGCTGTTGTTGGTGGTGGTGGGGTTGCTGTTGTTGTTGGTAGTAGCTCCTATTAATGTTTACAATTACGGCTGTTATTACTATGGTTGTTATTATTGTTGTTGTTTGTTGCTGTTGTTGTTGCTGTTGTTGTTATTGTTGTTGTTGCCAGTGTTGCTGCAGTTTTTGTTGATGGTGTTGTTGATGCTGATGCTGATGCTGATGTTGATGATGTTGGTGTTGGTGTTGGTGTTGGCGTTGCTGTTGGTGTTGGTGCTGTTGTTGTTGTTGTTATTGTTGCTGTTGTTGTTGTTGTTGTTGTTGTTGTTGTTGTTGTTGTTGTTGTTGTTGGTTGTCAGTTTTAGGGGGGTAAATCGGCCAGTGGGGCCCAGGCCACGCCGCTATGGGGATCGGTCAAACAATATTCACGTAAGTGTGAGTGAGTCTGGATGCTGAGTGTGAGTGAGTCTGGATGCTGAGTGAGTCATTTACGTGGGTGTACGTAAGTGTGAGTGAGTCTGAGTACGCGCGGCTGAGCGTCTGGGTGTGAATGAGTCTGGATGCGAGTGAGATTGAGTATGTGTAGCTGCATCTGAGCGACTGGGTATGAGTGGGCTCGGACGTGATTGGATCGGACAATGACTGAGTCTAGACGCTCGTGAGGGGATCGAAATTGGGGCGCCTAAGATGTCCCCATGGGCGCGAATGGGCCCGTGTTATACTCCTTGGTCGGCTCCTTGTCTGGAGGTTCAAATGCCGTGCTGACCACATCGCGATGATGTTGGGGAAATGAGACTGGCACGTCTACCCTGCAAAACAGCGATTCAACCCGAGCTGTCGCGAACGAGCCCGCGTAATACCTGCCCCTGGCGGCTCCCCTGTCAGAGGCCCAAACGCAATGCCTGCTACATCGCGATGATCTTGGAGCTCTGAAAAGAAGCACGCCGACCCCGCCAAAGCAGCGATTCGATCTGAGGGGTCAAGATAATCTGGTCGCGAACGCGCCCGTGTAATGTCCCGCGTGGCCCCCCTTGCGAGACCGGAGTGCCACACCTGCAACATCGCGATGATATTGGGGCTCTTGGAAGAGACACGTTCATGCCACCACAACAGCAATGGGACTTGAGAGGTCCCGACAATATGGTCGCGAGCGGTCCGCATATTTGTCCCAATCTGCCCTGTGCTTTTTATTAGTCGTGCTGCGCAACCGGAAACATCGGGAGAAGATGGGCAGAATTAGGCCACGAAGGGAGCGGAGACGAGAATATCGAAGAAGAGTGAGTGCACTCTGCAGGCAGCATTGATGCCTGGCGCCAAAACGATCCAGAGGCTCCCACAGCAGACGGAGACGACAGCTCAGACCCACAGCGGGAGGAGCACGGGAACGAGAACGATACACAAGGATGACTAGACTTCAAAGAATAGGTCTACCCAGGTTTGAATAAGGATTTCCCTTCGAGGAGAACGTAGAACGTTTAACCGAGCCTAGGTATCGCTATCTTCCTTGACTTGGTTATGGTGCCGCCCTTCGTGAACGAGAGCGAGAAAGAGGGGGAGGAGGGAGGCGGTGGAGGAGGAGGAGTAGGAGAGGAGGAGGAGGAGAAGGAGGAGGAGGAGGAGAAGGAGGAGGAGGACGAGAGGAGGAGGAGGACGAGAGGAGGAGGTGGACGAGAAGAGGAGGAGGAGGAGGTGGACAACGACGACGACGACGACGACGACGACGACGACCACGACCACGACGACAAGGACAAGGACGACGACGAGGACGAAGAGCAGAAGCGGCCAGGGCAGCGTGTTCGGCCCGCGGGTCCCTGCGGCATCCTGCGGCAAGGCCCAGCCGAGACCCCGACCCCAAGCAGGTCGGCAAGAGTTCGGGCCCAGAGTCTGCTGGAGGTCGGGCCCGGCCTCTGAGACCCTGGGCGGTGGGTGTCCTCCTCCCACTCCTGCCTCGTTCCTCCTGCTTCCCGCTCACTTCTCGGGGAATTACCCTTCTTCTCCTTCTCGCTCCTCGCTCACTACAATTCTGCCTATGCTGCCCAGTCCTTCTTCCTCCTGCTGCTCATCATCCTCCTGCTTCTCTTCTGCTCCCGCTGCTGCTGCTCGTGCTCGGCTCATCCTTCTGCTGCTGCTGCTGATGCTGCTGCTGATGCTGCTGCTCGTCGTCGTCGTCCTTCTCCTCTGGATAAAGATCACTCCTGCGTTTGCCCCTGCCCTTTCGACAACAGCTGCTGCTCCTCCCTGCGGTGTTCCATCTGCCGATCCTGCTCATGCTGCTGATCCTGATGCTTTCCTGCCTCCGTAGCCCCTGGCTCACGCCTGTTCGTGCTGTTTCGGGGCAGCAGCTAGGAATGTGGCATTCGGACTGAGCGATGCCAGAGGCGTTGGGTACAGGAGGGCCCTGCGCCCGAGCACAGTTCCTGCGATATCCACGCCTCTATCGACTGTGCCCTCCGCCGTCCCGGCAGAGGGCTTCCCGTGATCTCCCCGCGGGCGCTGTTCGGCTTCGCGGGCCGCCTCTTGTGCAGGCGTGTGCCGCCGCCGCCTCCGCGGCGGCCGCGGCCCTGGCGGCGGGGAGGCGCGCTGGCCGGCCCGCGGATGCAGCGCGTCGATGCAGGCGACGTGTGCCGTGCACGCGAATTGGCAGCCCAGGGCCGCGGACCTCGCTGGCTGCTTCTGCCGACGGCGGGCGCGGCACTCCAGAAGCGGCCCAGCTCTACCACGTCGTCGGCGACTTCTGTGACTGGGAGGTGAGTCGGGCGCCCATCATGGCCATAGACGTGACCATGAGCGACATGGATGCTCGGGTGCTGCCGGCGTGCCTCGTGTGGAAGGCCGTCATGCAGAGAGGGAGGCACGAGTTTCAGATTCTGAGGGACGCCGATTGGAACATGCGCCTCTACCCGACCGGCAGCGGCAGTTCGCTCCTGCAGCTTGGTGGCAGCCCGCTGCCCGTGGCAAGCGCTCACGGCGAGGGCCATGATTTGAATTGGGCGCTGGAGGCATCTCCGGGCACCGAGATCGATGTGATATACGATCTGAGTTCGGCAACGATCACATGTCGGCTGGTGTAGCGCGAGCAGAGTAGCATCGACCAGCAATCGTCGTGCAGTGTGACTTCATTGCGCTGCCACAGGCGCAGCCATGTTCTCAGAAGCTGATGCGCGTCAAGAGACCCATTATAATCCGTTGGCGCATGGATCGCACTGAAAAATGCTCTGGTGCGGCTATGAGATATGGCAGTCCTTGAAAGCAACTTCGACGCCCTGAGCAGCGTGGGGAACGCTCATGGGGGGCCGCCTTCCTTTCAGTCTCCTCCTCATCCTCTCGTCTGCCTCTCATCCTCACTTCCATCATCTTTCACCATGTTCGCCTTTCTCCTCTCAAAGCTATCCCTTTTTAGCCTTCGCCTTCCCCCCTTCCTTTCTCTTTCGCACTCCTCACAGTTCTCGCCTCCTTCCCCCCTCCTGTATCATCCCTGCTCGTCCTACTGTTCGTCTTCCTCTTTGCCTTTGTCGCAGGAACTCGCATGGCGCCGCTCCGCCCACTTCGGCTTATCCCAAACACGGGTCGTGCCCCATCGGGAGCTCCACTTGTGGCCAAAGTAGAAGATTTCGCTTAGCGTCGCCATGCACATCTCGGCACTCCTCACACGGATCACGCCACTTGGGAGCTCTACCGACGGCCTCAGAGGGCGCTTTCGCATGCGGGCATCCGCCGATCCCGGCACAGCCCTCACGCGGATCGTGGTTCACAGAAGGGCTCCGCCGACGGCCCCCCGTGGGCACTTTCGCATGCGGGCATCCGCACGTCTCGGCGCACCTTCACACGGATCGCGCCTCCACACATCCCTCCGCGAAACTCAAGGCAAGTTTTTCTTGCGCAGCGTCTGCGCCCCCAGGTTCCAAATACTTGCCGTCGGCGTCCGCAGGCCGTGCTGTGCGCGCCGTTGAACGTTGATAGCCGGGGGCGTGGCGGGGTCGGCATCATTCTTGCCTCAAGTTTCGTGGAGTTCGAAGAACAAACACGGCATGAGCAGAAACGTTTGTAGCTCCATTTCTTGGATCTGCGCTGAAAACCCCCTGGCGGCGCCCTTGGCGGCGCCCCTGGCGGGCTCCGCGCGCCAGGGAGGGAGGTCCAGGTCAGATCCAAGAACTCCGCGCGGATCATCACAAGTTTGTGTTTCTGCTGGTTTTGCTCTTCCACGGAATCCCTCTGGCCCTCTGATTACCGAGCGCGTTCGGCCACTCGCAAAGTGCCTATTCGCAAACCTCGGAAACAAAAACAGCCTTCCTGTATGCAGTGGATCCTAAATCCCCCGCTTCGGATCCAGGCCATTTGCGAGTGGATATTTTGCGAGTAGTGGAATGCGCTTGCCTATCTGAGAAGTCGCCCGTGTCTTTGGGGAGGGCTCAGGGAACTTCCCAGCAGGCCGGGGGGGGGGGGGCTGCAGAGCCTTCCGAGAAGGCCCCGCCCCTTCTCGCTGCCCCCCCGACGGGCTCACCGCCGACTCCTGTCCTCGAAGCCTCCTCGATGGGGGTCGGAGCAGGCGGGGTCGGGGGATCGCGCCGCATCGCCGATGCACCAGCGATGCGGCTCAATGTGCAGCCCGATTTTCTTCACGCCGACGCCGCCGATGCATCGCCGATGCATCGCCGATGCATCGGCGATGCATCGGCGATGCGGCGCGATCCTCCGACTCCACCTACTCTCAAGTCGGGCCTGTCCCTCTACAGGAGGAAAATTCAAAAATAGTCAAAAAATAGTCTGGGGACGACTTTTTGAGTATTCTGGAGCATTATTTGGCTATTTTCTGACTACTTTTAATTCTTCGTCCAAGCTCTGCCTGTAGGGGGCATGCCCGACCTAAATCTGCCCTGGATCCGCCTCTTGGAGGTCTCCCATGAACGTACTGCCCCGGCGTCCACGCCTCCCGCAGCGCGCAGGCGGGGGCCACGCCCCGCTCCTCGCGCAGGTTTGCGCAGGGTCGGGCCCGTCGCCCGGCTCCAGGTGCAGTCGCAAGGAATGCGACGACGCCAGGGCGACGGGCCTTTCTTGGCTTCATACGCAAACTCAGGTCAGACCTCACCATCCCTGTGGGGCTGCGATCTGCGAAACTGTCTCCACTTTGGAGGCCTGCTGGGGGGTCCAGCATGGTGACGTCATACGCAAACTCAGGTCAGACCTCACCATCCCTGTGGGGCTGCGATCTGCGAAACTGTCTCCACTGTGGAGGCCTGCTGGGGGGTCCAGCATGGTGACGTCATACGCAAACTCAGGTCAGACATAACCATCCTTGTAGGGCTGCGATCTGCGAAACTGGCGCCACTTTCGGAGGTCGCCTTCTGCGGCCCCGCTGATTTTTCGGCTCTCAAAATTTCGTCTCCCCCTAGTTGCCGTCCTGTCCCCGTCGATCGTGGGGCCTGAGTGCCTCCATCAAGCCCTTGTCAATCGATCGGTGCCGTGCGAGTCCCTCAGCTTTCGAGCCTCGCAAGTAACGCGCGCAGGGAATATATGTAATCTTTGCCACGGCATCAACCCCTCAGAAAGTCTACCCAGCTATTCTGGCCACGAGTTGCACAAAGCTTGGTTACATCGTCAGGATAGTTCCTTCCTCTCAGTGGGCGGGCGGAAACCAGATCTGCCTCTCGACGCCTCCGTAAGTCATACTCCTGCCCTCTTCCGAACGATGGTTCATCCTTGCCTGTGGTGCCAATGCGTTCTTGGGGGTATACTTCGTATCGTTCCACGCTTCATTCCTGAAGCCCGCGGTGGGCACTGTGACGAGTGGACCTGCAGGTTGGCCGTCGCACCTTCCCCTCGCGCTTCCTTCCCCTTCTCTCCAGAAGATACGCTTGCTGGAGCAAAACAGTTCCTTCCTAGCGGTCGGTGCCAACATGGTGGACCGATGCAGGAGAGCAGAGGCAGGGATGGCAGCGGGGGGGAGGGGGGGAGGAGAAGGAGGAGGAGGAGGAAGGAGGAGGAGGAAGGAGACGCGGAGCGCTGCCTCTTCAAGACGAGGACCCACCACGACAGGATGGTCGGGAAAAACAGCTTCTTCCGAGCGGTGGGTGCCCTGTTCCTCCGTGCTCACGTCCTCCCCCCTGCTGGCAGCAGGCGAGTCCTGGCTGGAGGCCTGCACGAAGGGGCTCTATGCTGGGCACATCACCATGCTCACCATGTCGCCCGGGGGGGGCAACGTCAGGGGGGGTACAGGAAGAGGAGGAGGAGGAGGAGGAGGAGGAGGAGGAGGAGGAGGAGGAAGAGGAGGAGGAGGAGGAGGAGGAGGAGGAGGAGGAGGAGCGGGGGGGAACGCATCGACCCCCGAAGCGCCCAGTCATCGCCAGTCGAGGCCTGATCGCCCACCCCGCCCAGGAGCGTGCGGTTTTCAGTAATCGGGCTGCGCAGGCGGCGCTGCCGAGAAGGATCGGCCCTCGGCACTCGGGAGGGGAACAATTCGCGGCAGTTTGGAAGATGGTCAGAGGCGGAAAAGGTGCCCATACCTCTACCCTTCCCTTGTTTTCTTCGGTTTGGGGTCTCATGGAAGGCCCTCGTCGCCACCGCTGGATTCGCCTCGAAATCCTGGTCAGAACGCACCCTGGGAGAGGTCGGGGAGTAGCAGTATCCGTACCTGTTGGCTTCCCCAGATGGGAGAGGGCGCGGTCACACTCGTGATTCGTTATGGTAACGGCTGAAGTTGGCTCGGTCTCGGACTGTTGCATCCCCGACGTTTCCTCCTCCTCCCTCCCCTCATCCCTCCCTTCTTTCCTCACTCCCACTCCGTTCGCTTCCTCCCTCTACGGTTGGGGCGTTCGTTTATGAACGTGCTCATAAGCTTCAGACCCTGGAGGGTTCCTTATCCAGTGGGGGCGGCGGTGATATCCATGGCCGATCCACGATTGGAGTTCCACTGGCCTCCAGACCCTGGATTTCTGATCAAACGTTTCCTTATCCAATGCCATCACTGTATCCGTCCATCGCTCCCTCTGCCTTCCCTCCCTCCGTGCAGTTGTCCCTCTCCTTCGCCCGTGGTTTTGGATCTCCGGGTCCGCTATGACACGCGTCGGCGGAGAGAGAGAGAGAGGGAGGAGGAGGAGGAGGAGGAGGAGGAGGAGGAGGAGGAGGAGGATACCAGATGCGGCGCGCGCGCTTTCGGCTTGCCTCTCCCCTCTCTCCCCTTCCCCCCCCCTCGCGCCCCCGCTCATGTCTCGTCTCCCACGTCCAAGCTCCTCTCCCAGGTCCGCCATCAACGCCGTGGCGCTGGGGGTGGCGTACAACATCGTGAAGCGGAAGGCGCGAGGCTCGAAGCCTCGCTTTCAAACGGGCGCTGCAGGTTCGGTCCTGCCGGGCGTCTTCGCCCGGCCTCGGGGCCCGCGACCAGCACGGCTCGATCCGGCTCGGACAATGCTTCAGATCGATGGGGTTTGGAGCTGTGGTCGCGGTTTTCGGAGATGTTGCAATTTTGTTCGCTACGTCGGAGTTCAGGGAGGGGCCCTCGACCACAGCTCGATCCGGCTCGGACAATGCTTCAGAACGATGGGGTTGGGAGCTCTGGTCGCAATTTTTGGCGATGTTGAAGTTTTGTTTGCAACGTCGGAGTTCAGGGAGGTGCCACGAGCGAGAATCGCGACGGCTGTTTTCCTTCAGTTTGGGCCTCTGGAGGCCCTCTTCGCCAGGTCGGCATAGTCTCGGCGAAGGACCCAAGCATGTGCGGGTGTGCTTACCGCAAGGCAGGTGGGACGAAGGGGGGCAGGTCCTTCTGGGGCCACGAAACGCGTTAGAGGTGTGCCGAAATTGCCGCGGGGTCGCCATGCGGACCCTGCCGCCGGGGCTTTCGGTAAAGCAATCTCTGGGGCCACGAAACGCGTGATGGGGTGTGCCGACATGGGTGCGGGGTCGCCATACGGAACCTGCCGCTGGGGCCTGCGATTGAGCTCCCTATGGTGCCGCGCAGTGTGTGAGGGGTGTGCCAGAATGGGTGCGGGGCCCCAATGCAGACCCTGCCGCTAAAGCCTTCGGTGGACTTCTCTCCTGGGGCCACGAAACGTATGACGTGTGTGCCAGCGTGGGTGTAGGGCCGAAGTGCAGACCTCGTTGTTGGGGCCTTCGGTAACCACCAGGCGTGTGTTGAGTGTGCCGACCTGGGCGTGGGGCCGCCATGCAAACCTTGCCGCTGGAGCTTTCAATGGAACCTCCTCTGGGGCCACGCAACGTGTGAGGGTCAAATCAAGTAAGCCTTGCACCGGCCGGTGCGTGAGCAAAGTGAAACGTCAAATAGGCGTGGCGCCGGTCACACTAAGGTGATTCAGAGAAGGAGGAGGAGGAGGACGAGGAGAAGGAGGGGGAGGGGGAGAGCTAGCACCAGACGGTGCACAAGCAGGAAGCGCGCAAAATGGACAAGCGACCGGTCAGTCGCGCCATGCTTTCACCGCCGACTCCCACGCCGCTGCTGCACTGGCCTCCGGCCGGAAGAAATCAGCTAAGCGGCCGCGGGCGCCGGCTATCATCAAACAGTTATTCAGAACCATGTTGCCCCACATCTGTCGGGGGCGCGCTCGTTTGCGAGGCCCTGTCGGCAATCGCGGTTCAATGCCGCCAGGCTGTAGGACGGAGCATCGCACAGGATCGTTGCAGGGTCGCCTCGCGAGCTGCCCTAATTAGGAAAACCATTTGTCGCTTGGCAATGGCTTCGCTCAGCGGCCTTTCGCAGGCCATGCTCAGTACGGCGTTGTTGGACACGCGACTTATATACGAAGGTTGCACTCTGCAAATCCGTCTTAAACACCTGGTTTGAAATCCGTCCAGCCTCTTCCGCTCTGATTTGTTCAGGCAAGCGGCGAAAAGGCAGTAGCATAATTTTGAAACGATGCATGCGTTAAAAATCTTCACTTTTCGTTCCCGAGACAACGTTGCGTGAGACCAGATTGCATGCAACACATTGAAATCCTGCTTTGCCGCGCCTAATATCCGATTCAACTCAGAGCCACTACGGCCGTCTGACGAGATGTGGGCCCCGAGAAACAGCAAGGCCTCTTTTTCTTTCACCGTGTCTCCAACTCTGTTCACTACATGTGCGTCTGAGCGGACTCTCATCATTTCCACTTTGTTCCAGTTCAAGCTCAGGACGTACTGCTTCCCGCACTCCTCCACGCAGGATATGAGCTCCTGCACGACGACAGGGTTCGCGTCCATCAAGAGTGTGTCATCGGCGTACACCAGGTCTCGCACAAAGTGCGCGTCGGGAGTGTCCGGCAGTCGCATGCGTAGCCGAGCGTGCGCATCCTTCAGCAGCGTCGTCATGACGATGGTGAACAGGAGTGGAGACAGCGGGCACCCCTGGCAGATACCGAACCTTTGCCGCCGCTCTCCGGATGATGAGCCGAAGTCAGACACGACGAATTTTCTGTCCTCGTAGATCGCCTTCACCATGTCTGCGAGCTTGGCAGGGCACCCGAACCGCCGAAGCGACGTCGCCATTGCTGCGGGTGACACGGAATCGAAAGCCTTCGCCCAATCAAGCGCCAGTAGGTGGACGGCCCCCTCCTTCGTGGCCCACGCGTCCTCGAGCACCCTCCTGGCCACGAAGATCGCGACCGAGGTACCGCGCTTGGACCAGAAGCCGGATTGGGTGGGCCAAATTTTGTCCTCTGCACCCGCGTCCTTCGGCCTCTGCAACATGATCATCGCGAAGACCTTGTACCCCATCGGCATCAAGCTGATCGGCCGGTAATCGTCGCAAACTGCAGGGTCGCCCTTTTTGTAGATCATGCTAACCCGCGATTTGTGCCATGCGTCTGGCACCGCTGCCTGCGACCAGACCACGTTACAGAAACGTGTGACCCATGCAAGGGCTGGCTGTCCATCCTCAGCAGACGCTTTCCAGAATTCGGGTGGCAAGCCGTCCAAGCCGCCCGATCGTTTGTTTTTCAGTCTGCGGGCGGCTCGCTGAACCTCCTCGTCAGTGATGATGTTCAGGTTGAACGGCAAACCAGCTTGATTCGCAGGGTCTTCCGGCAGCACTATCGTAGGCCGCACGGCCCACAGCACTGTCTCTAAGTGCTGCGCAAGTGTATATGCCCTGCGGTCGCTGTCCACCAGCTCGCCCTCGTTCGTGCAAAGTCTTCCCTGGGCATGCTGGCGGCCCTTGCGCAGTCTGCGGATCTGTGCCCAATCTTTTTCTGGTTACATCCTCGAGCCAATTCGCCTTGTCTCTGGCCACGGAAGCTCGGATTCGTTTCGCTATGTCGCGCTCTCGCGGGGCATCCGCGTCCCGCCTGGCCCGATACCGCAACCGCACGAGTTCCAACGTGCTGTTGCTGATCCATGGTTTGCGGGGGCGAATCGGCTCTTGCGGCAAGACAGTCGTCTCCGCATGCACGAAGCCATCAACCATTCGGCACCATGCCAGGTTCACGTCAGAGTCGTTCGGGGAGGCCTCTTCGTAGCTGTCCCAAACTTCGCCCAGACATCTTGCAAAGATCTGCCTGATATTCTTGTCGGCCAGGGCGCCGTGGTCACGGCGACATGCCAGTTCTTCCACGCAGCGCTTGTCGACCTCCATGCGCACGGAGGCTTGCAGCAAGAAGTGATGCGATGATAGTGGCGCCTCTGGGCAAAAAGTCGCACTTCTGACGTTATGCAGCCAGCCCTACCCACAACAGAAGAAATCGATCTGCGAGTGAGTCTGACCGCTGACCGGGGCGCCTGCTTTCGTGCCAACGTTGTAGCAGGTTGCCAGGCCGTCAATCGAGGTCTCGAAAAAGGTGTTGGCCAGGCACATGTTGAGATGTGTGAGCGTCTCCACAAGCAAATGTCTATTGGCATCGTTCTTGCACCCCGTGCTCGGGCTCAGCAGGACGTGCTCGCCCACCACAGCGTGTCCACCATCCATGCGGTAGTGAAGCTTTGCATTGAAATCCCCTAAGACCAATTCGGGTCCGTGTGCCGATTTCGACTCGACGAATTCAGCCAGGTCATGAAAGAAAGTATGTCTTGATCAAAAGGCTTACCACAATGAGGCGCACATGCCGAGAATACAACGGCTTTGCCTCCAGGGACGCATACTTTCAACGACGCCATTCTTGAATCGGCCTGGCAGAATCCTACTACCGGTCTCCGGAACCAAGGAGCCATTAGGAACCCCTTTCCGGCTCTCTCGCTATCTCCGTCGATCCCTCCCGACATGATGACCAAGAAGCTTGATAATGTCACGAACGTGTTGGATTTCAATTGCTAAGTCTCTTGTGCGCACAGCACCCCGATCTCGTTATCAGTCATGATTATCTCTACTTCGATATGTTTCGAATTTGTGTACCCTTCAATGTTCCAAGATGCAATCGTGAATTCTGAAGTTGAGGGGAATAAACGTCCGCCCCTGCATGCGGCGAGTGGCAGTTTGGCTTGACCAGGCTGCTCCGCTTCAGCTGCATGGGTGTTGGTATTAAGAGCGTCCTGAAGAACGTGCAAGTCAGGCACACGATCCCAAGCACTCTGGGGTGAAACGTCTCTGCTTGCACACCGCTGGCACCCCTACATGGCGTGGGCGCCCTTCCCCTTCCACTTCCCCTTGAAGGATCCCCTGGTTGCGGCTTTGCCGGATCCCTTGGACGAGAAGTTCTCGAGTTTGCCGGCCATCTTCTTCACGAGCGCGGGGAAGTCACGGATCTCGGAGTCCGTGAGCCATTCTTCCCACCCTCGCCCATATTTAACGTGGAAGTTGTCGGAAATGATGCTGGCCTCAATGGCAATATCATCCCCAACCCAAACCTTGCCCTCCACAGGATCGGCCCAGGCAGACTGACCAGCGTAACCCCATTGTTTAAGCAAGTACGTCACCCCAAACACGAAGCTCGAAATGACCCGGTCTAGGAGGGACTGGTCCGGCTTAGCCCACGCGTCGTTACCCCCCTCCCTGAACTTGCCTTTCCGGAAGAAACTCACCGCTGTGTCCCGGTCTTTCGTCGATGCGAATCTTCCGAAAACGATCCTCTTGAACTCCCCTTTCGCGTATATCTCCTCGGGTTGAGGCCCATAAGACTCCCATAGTTTATTAGTCACCCAAATATTCGCCCCGTCGAGGTCTTCGAAATGCCGAACCCCTCCGATCACGATCGTCTTATCCTTCTCCTGGTTATCTGTACTGTTGCCGCGCGGGGTCATCAGCATGAAGACTTGAAGCTCCAGCGCCTTGATCTGATCTAGAACCTCCTGGCTGACGCTCTACTCGGAGCGCGGGGTGCCGAGATCGACCTGGTTCTCAAGATTCGTGATGCGGATCTCTACCTCCTCCACCT